GTCCGTCACATTTCTATTAAAAAACCACTTTTACATCTTACTTTTTCATATCCTACCTATCACATTATACCTTTTTCCTAATAATCTACCCATCACATCCTACTTTTACTCATCACATCAAGGGCATTTTTGTAAAGTCAACACAAAATTATCCCTCCTTATTTTACCACTTTAGTCAAAGTGTTCCAATCTTTTTGGGACAGAGGGAATACTTTATATGTATTCCCTCCGTCCTGAAAATAATTTTTCATTTGACTTTTCACGGTCTCCAATGCGACACTTTGACCTTCAATATCTCAGATCCATTCTTATATAAATATATTTTGTAAAAATAATATATTTCAAAAGTATGTTTCAAAATGAATCTATTAATAATAAATTTATATGTAAATTCAATGTATTTTTTTGTAACATACAATCAAAATTTAAAAATCTAACTACAAAGGTCAAATTGGAAAATTAATTTTAAGAGATACACTTATTTGTAAAAAGGGTGTGGAAAGAAAGAGGTGGGGGAGTAGCTTTTTCCATCCTTTTTAGTTTTTACACTCAATAAAGGTGCTACCCCGGAGTATTTGGAAAGGCGGTAAACAAGCATGCATCAATTAAGGACATCTTTCGACTTTTGGAGCTGGCGGGGCTTCACATTTAGCAAGGTAATTATGGTCCGTGTTCAATTCTTGGTGACTGTGCTCAGAGTTAATTATATGCTAAGCATGGAGTACGTATCTGCAAGTATCAGGTGCAGGTTTCACTCTTTACCACCAGTTTGCAATCAAAATCCAATTTAAATCTTCTCAGTGACTGTCCGGTCGGATTTGAGAGGCTCCTCGAGAATGTGGCTCCTTTTTTGGACTATTAGAGTTTGTTTGAAGGAGAAAAATAAGCATCGATGTACCGTACCGACTCCTCCATGTATTGGTTGACATTCCCGGCTTTTTTTGTATCATTCGTTATTTATATGATCATATCATATTATTGGAGTGAGAGTCAAAATATTAATCCTTTATAATAATTGAAGATTATTATTGAAGATAAATTTGGAAAAATAATTATTGGAAATTAATTATTAGATCTCAAAGCATACATGACTTCTAAAATTCGAAATTAAGTTTAATTAATTCGAAAAGATAAAAATCATAATTTTACTAATTATAAGTAATGGTGACCGGCAACGTGGTAGTTGGCAGTAATATTAATGTATCCAATGGCAGTGTGGTTAACGATTGAAGGAGATAACAAATTCCTATATCGATATTTTCTAAATTCGAAAATATCAAAACTCTCTATTTGAAAAGTTGTAATATCAAATCTAATTTTTTAAATTATTTACCAGACATCAGAAAAGGGTTATGATATTTTATGATATCAGAACCCTTGCATTTTATATTCACCAAATCCATCATCTTTTAAGACGAAGAGAATAAGTTCATGTTCTCTTTACCTTATCTGAATGATTCTGATCAGATTGGAATACGTTTTTGATCTGATCTGATTTTAATGTAGTTATTTTTAAAACTATCTTAGATCTAATCTGGTCTGATCTGATTCCAATACGAAAAAGTAATAAATAATACTCCTTCCATCCTAAAATTAACTTCTCATTTGACTTTTCACGGTTTTCAATGCGACACTTTGACCATCAATATCTCAATTTTCATATAACTATATTTTATATAAATTATATATTTCAAAACTATGTTTCAAAATGAATCTATTGCCAATAAATTTATATGAAAATTCAATGTATTTTTTCCGTAATATACGGTCAAAGTTTAAAAATTTGACTACAAAAGTCAAAATGGAAGTTAATTTTAGGACGGATGGAATAAGAATAATTTGAAGAGAAGATGATCTAAATCTATGTTGTTTTTGTCTTAATTTTAACAAAGGTTGAGATCCATGTCCAAATAGTGGAGTTTTGCCTATATATATATATATATATAAACAGACACTAATTACAAACAATTAATAATTAAGACACTAGATTAGGTATTAACAACGTTATAATGTTCCCAAAGAAAAGAATACTGCTTTTGAGAGGCATTGCTATTTCTCTCGACATAATCGCTGCCATTTGTTTTGGTATCGCACTAGGAGATCATCATCATCGTCCCAATCCCCCGGCGGCGGCGGCGGCGGCGGGACTTACAAAACCCGCTAGGCGACTGCTCGCCGGAATAGCCACGGCTGTTCATAGCGCTGCTTGTGGGGTTGCCCTGTACCTTTCCGGTCGATGTATTCGCAAGGCAGATCAAGACCAGGAAGTGATGGATATGATGATGCTGATGATATTTTTTAATTTCACATTGTAGGTATCGTAAATTAGTTGTCTCTGCGTTCTCAAACACACTTCTTTTTTTATTTTTTTCACTTCCAACAAAACATTTCCACTTTCTATTAAAAAACCACTTTTACCCTTACTTTTTCATACCCTACCTATCACATCATACTTTATCTCTAATAATCTATCCATCACATCTTACTTTTACCCTTCACATCAAGGGCAAAATTGAAATTCAACTATAATTTAATATTTCCTTATTTTTTATACAAAGTCAAAAGATGCACACTTTTTCCAAACGGAGTAAATAATACTTTCTTTCTCTCGCTATGATTTTTTTTTTCGGTTAAAATTTACAAACTTTACCTATAAATTAAATAAAATATTGATTTTGGTTGGCTGAAGTATAAAAACTGTACACCTTAACATCATCACAAAAGTGTAAAAATGTCATCTTACGTTATTATATAAGCAAGGTTAGAGTGACAAATAACTTGGACATAAAGTGTACAAATTTGTCATTTGTGCAGTTTCTAATGTGAATAAAATAATTTTAAATAATTAAAAAAATAAAAATTTAAATACACAAATGATTAATTATGCGTGTTGTTTCGTGTAAATTGTTTGTGACTCTAACATTGCTCTTATTATATTCTCTTTTCTTGCCAACGAAACAAAGATCAGAAAATAAATCTCTTTTTTCTTAACAATGTTAATGTTTTTCAAATCATTTTATTAAAAGAATGATATTATATATATATATATATATATATATATATATATATATATATGGATTGACTCCAGTGAGATGACACCATATGGTGAGATGACATGCTTCGGTGAGATGACGCAAAGCTCACCTCACTACACTACAAAGCTCACCAATGGACAATGCAAAGTTCACCTAGAAATAGAGTAAAGCTCACCACTTTGAACACCAAAAATCACTTTTTTTAAGTTTTGAAAATTTAAAATTAATAAAAAATAAAATAGCAACATCGGTCAACCACCAGTCGGCGGCAGCGGCAGGCGGCGGAGCAGCGGCGGTTGACGCGACCAGCGGCGGATTCCGGCGACCGGCGGAGGCATGCGGTGGATTCCGGAGGTGACGGCGGATTCCGACGACCGGCAGCGGCAAGCGGCGGATTCCAGCGATCGGCGGTGGCAGGCAGCGGTCAAAGGTCTCGGTCAACAGTCAAAGTCTAGTCAGCACCCCTTTCTTTGATTTTATTTTTTCAAAAAAAATTCAAAGTGTTGAAAAAATATGGTGAGTTTTGCCTTACAATTTGGTGAGCTTTGTAGTTGTCCTTGGTGAGCTTTGCAGTTGCCAGTGGTGAGCTTTGCGTCATCGGACCGTAGCATGTCATCTCACCGTAATGTGTCATCTGACTGAAGTCAATCCCATATATATATAAACTACGTCAAAAAAATTTCAAAAGAAGAGGTGATAAAACTATTTTATTTTATTAAATAATCGATGAACGCATATAAATAAACAAAAACTTATGTAATTTTTAAATAATAAATTGTTACTTACTATTGATTTTAATTTTTGTTTTTTTAAATATTATATGGGCAGGGCGACGTTTGGCATTGGAATTTATTTTGTGGTGGTAGTAGTAATTAAAGGAAATGCGAGTAGCTCTAATAAAATGTTGGGAGTGGCTGATTTTATCACCCAAGCGTTTCTTGCCATAGTCTTCTCAATCACTAGCAGTGACCCTAGTTCAGAGAATGATATGCCCCAATCTCCAGAATCCCATTAAATCCCATGGACGGTTACTAAGATGAGATAAATTGAATTTGGACGCAAATCGGATACAGAGAATGTAGCCTGCACCTGATAGTTGTAGAGATCTAATCTCGAGAATCTTCCTAGTATTGTTCTGGACAATTTTTTTACTATAATTTCAATTTGGTAAAGAAAAAAGAACATGTCGTTAGTACTTGCAAGAATTTCATGCTGAACATGATCTCAGTTACGAGGCAATAGTAGTTCAAACGAGCGACAAACTACACTGAGGGTGACTAAATTGATGCACAATATATTCCGTATATGAGATTTAAGTATGTTTCTTCTTAGAAGAATCAAATTAAGTTTACGAGATTTGAGTGATGTTCTTTTCAATTAAAATTATTTATAGTCCCACATTTTTGCATAATATAATTATGTCACCTCTTGTTTCACAAAACTTTTGATATAATTTTTAGATACATTTTTATTTTTAATAAAACATCATTTTTTAAAATAAATTAACTTAAAAATTCAATCAAATATTATAACATGTAAAAGATAATTTGTAGAAAGAGCCACGAATAATGCTTTTTACTCCATAATTAATTAGTGTTTCCTTTTTCTACTAGTGTAACTATTGATGCTTTTTAAAATTGGAGATTAGACATGAATGTTCACATATAGATACGAAAGTCCTATGAACATTCGCTTAAGAGGCAAACATTCACGCGAAGAGTTTTCTGCGGTTTAGGCCTTAGGGCCATTTTTGACGTGTTATCATACGTCTGAATCATTAAGGTTTTGAACTCCGTTAACAAAAATCTGAAGCATTTTCATAAAACAACAATGTCCAAAAAAAATTGGATAGCTCAACCCCGGCCAAGGCTCTGCCCCTTGGACCCCCGCTACCGGCTACCGCCCCCAGACCCATGCGACAAATTTGAAATATCGTTGAACGAGTGCGCACTCCACACCTCCTAACTAGTTTGACAACGTCTATTTAAATTCTTGTCTGATCTAAGTAAATCCAATCACACAAAATAGCGGATGAGACTAAAATCACCCAGAGCTACAACCATAACCATCTAATTAATCGGATGCCAAAAGCAAGTCTCATTATGAAGCTCTCTATCCATGCACCTCCATATCTTTGTATGTCATTCCTATCCATGTCAAGACTTATTTGCTGGTAACATATCTGCTCAAATCTGGCCTGAAACATTAAGTGCCAATATGGCAAACAACAATGAGCAGTTAACCAAATATTATGCTGATAACCAAACATGACCCAAGTTGGCTTGAAACACAACATACTATAGCAATTATAGATAGATTCTATGCAAGTGGGAAAAAACTATATGATAATGACAGCTTTTTGAAATTTCATCTCATTATTTCTTTAGAAGTTCATAAAACTTTGCCCCTATGTTTTTTTGCATTACTATGTAAAAAAACAGAAAATACCCTTTAAAGAAAGAAAAAAATTACCTGAAGATACAAATTTCATATCATCGACCGCATCATGGTTGGGAACTTGGGATTAAGGTGATGATGAGTTTCCACAAAAAGTAGGGTCTCAGTGCATGCAGACCTTACCCCTACTTGAAAGCAGAGAGATTGTTTCCTAGTTCATATAGTTGTTTCTGTTGTATGTTTTCCTTCCCAAACATGTCTTACTGGCTGTACTCATCTTCCAATGTTGAGCCCTCGATAGGCTCAAATCATCACTTGAGCACTCCATGAACTCGTATTCTTAGCCACTCTTCCACAAGTTTGGTTTTAATGTGAAAAGAAAACAACCCAGCATAGTCCCGACTCCGTTGGGGTCTTTGGTTGGGGGGGGGGGGGGCATGACGTGCAATTTTACCCCAGTAACCCCTGTGAGATACTGTTTCCATGATTTTATGAGCAGAGAATGAAACTAAAAAGTTGAATAACATGTCAAGTCAATTGTTGTTGGTGATGTTTAGGCAAGACAATGCCGTGTTCGACAAAAAGCATCATAAGTTTGTCTGCCTCGTCCGTTTTCCCATCTAACATCAATTTCTCCTTGACAGTTTCACATAACTTCAAATCGGGAATCAGATTCCGCTTGAACATCCGACAGGCAACCTTAAATGAGAACAAAGGGTTCCCTTTTTTCAAAAAACTCTCAATAAGAGCGTGGCAAGTTTTTGCATCGATTCTTGAAGCTGTCCTAAGAACTTTATCCAACAGCTTATAAGCCTCGTCGGGATTTCCAAACCCACACAGCTTTTCAATGACTTGGTTGTACACGGTCTTGCAATCTTTTCTTGACAACATCTTCTCTAATAGCTTTACAAGATCGTCTACCCGGCCATGGTGACAAAATCGATGAATCACGGTGCGGTATGTGACTTGAGTAGGAACCAGCCCTTTATGGATCATTTTCTTAGTCATTTCAATCGCCTCTTCTATTCTTCCATTCTTTCCTAATGCATTTATTATCGTTGTATACGTGACAACATCTGGATGCTTGTTAATCAAATACATGTCATCAAGAACGGAGAGAGCAGAGCCCACATCGTTCTTTGAACAGAAACCATGAATCAAAGTGGTGAAATTTACGGCATTTACAGCGCACCCTTTTCTCGCGCACTCTTCTAGAAACTTCTTTGCCTCAACCGTTCTACCCTCCCTACAAAGAGCTTGAATGAGTTGGTTAATTTCGACCGGAGTAGGGAAAAACCCCTTTCCTATCATTTCGGCGACTATATCACAAGCTTCCGGAAGCTTTCCCTCCCTGCGAAAGCCATGCATCAGAACACTATATGTCACAGCATTGGGCTTCCACCAGCCATCCTCACTCATATTCATCATCTCTCTTGCTTCTGAAGATTTTCCGTCGCGACACAGCCCATTCAAAAAGGCTGTGTAGGAAACAGTGTTTGGCTTGCATCCATATTTGTTCATCTGTTGGAGTAGCTTTTTTGCTTCGCCAACCTCACCCAAACAGCAAAATCCATTCACGACAGACGTGTAAGTCACCACATCAGGAACACATCCCTTGGCAATCATCTCATTGAGGAGCTCTTTCACGCTATCCATCCTCCCCTCTTTACAGAATGAGTTTATGACAGTACTGTACTCGATTTTGTCTATCGTGAACCCTCTGGATTCTCCTTCCCTTAAAAAACTTAAGGCTTCATCGGCATGCCCATGCTTTGAAAGCATATGTACAAGACTTTCATACATAACCTGATCAAGATGTAAATTATCGTTTCTCATCTTTTCATCTATCAACTCTCTTATTTCGTCGACTCTATTCTCCTTGCACAAAAATCCCATCACAGTGCAGTAACTCACTTTGTCTGGAGGACAGCCCTTATGAGGCATTTGAGCAATAAGGTCCAGAGCATCTTCAACTCGGTGCGCATCACAGTAGCCTTTGATTAAGGAATTATAAGATACGACATCGGGTGTGATTCCAACTACTTTCATACGTTCCAAAAACCTCAATGCCTTCTCCAGCTTATTCCCCTTCACCAAAACATAAACTGCAGTGTTACAAATGGATAAATCTAGCCCAACTCCTGCTCTCTGCATTAAAGTAAGAACCTGCAAAGCTTTCCTCATATGTCCGGCTCGACTAAAAGAAACCATCACATAACCAAAAGCTTGGGACTGAAGTTCAATTCTTCTTCTGGACATTAGCCGGAGGACGCGTTTGGCTCCTTGGCACAACTTTGTCTTGCTAAGAATTCTAAGCATCTCATAATACACGACCTGGACATGCCTATAGCGCCATTGCCGGTCTGCCCAATGGAAGAACATCAAAGAAACCCTTTCATCGGATTGAGACCTTAACACAGCACAAACTTGGAGAGGTGTCAAACTTTTCAATAAGCGCCTTAGATCTCCCTCAAGCCTCAGAGTCCATAATGACCTCATATCAATTAACTTACATATTTCTTTTACCAAAGGGTGTCTCATTTCATCCTCTATCCCATCAATTTTCTCTTTGCGGCAATTACTTGGGTCTCGATTCCTATCAAATGAATCCAAAATCTTAAAATCATCGCCAATGTCATCATTGTCACTCTCTCCTCCATCTTCCTTTTCCGACTCTTCAAACTCGTTCAAATCGCCAAATTTGCAACTTCCCGCAACTTCTCTATCACTATAAACTGTGTCTGAAAAACTTAAGTTCCCATATTTTCTACGGCCCATTTCTTGAACTGCATCATAAGCATTGTCATACTCACAACAAAATCTAGAAAAAGGTATGGCTATAGATGGAAGAGGACACTGGATCAGGCTGTGAATAAATGCTTTTGTTCTTTGAGGCTGAAAGACAAACATACAAACCAAAGAAGGGAGGGTGAGAGACACAAAGTTTTAGATTCTCGTTTGAATGATACAATGCTATCAGTGCATAAGGATACATCATTTAGTTTTTATTGGCACTAATAAGTATATTAGATATGATTATGAGATTTAAGTTTACAAATGATACCAGCATAAGAAAGAAAATATGCTAAAATACCCGCACCCCCCCCAACCAAAAAAAGCAATATACTACTATAATTGTTCAAGCAATTGATACATCTAAAACCGAGCAAAGAAAGGAGCCTGCAAAATCCCAAAACGCTTTATATATGTACAGATGTACCCTAATAGTACTACAAACTAACCATATCTTTCAGACAATCATGGTATGTTTTTACAAGCTCTGGTGTAAATGCTGGAAAAGGGAGCCAATCATGCCAAGTCATTAACGGGATGAACTTCATCGGAACAAAAGAAGCTTCAAAAACAGTTTTCAAGTGAAGTGTATGGATGTCATACACTCATACAACACAGGGTCAAGTGGACAAGAAACCATAAGCAAAAGGATATGGGGTAGTCATTCGACGAAACAGCATGTTTCAATGGTAATATGTATATGTACATGTATATAGGCATTCCAACTTCATGATAACAATTGTTACTAAATTGGATCCCTCTTTACATACACGAAACGCTCTGAGCTTGGATCCCACAATTGGTGTTTTTGTATAATTTCTCATTAATGTGATTGACAATAGTCACAATAGACAATGTGGAAGGCTAATACTTACCCATAAAAAAAGGGAGATGTATGAATCTCTACTTGAATACCTTTTGCTTATTTTAAAAGATCATAATAAGGGAATTATATAGGAAAAATCAAACAAAATATGTAATCCAAAGAATCACTTTCCCTCATGTAGATAAAACAGGCATTTAAACCATAATGTCAGATCATAATTAGCAGCAAGAAACTGCAGACAAAGATACAGACTACTATGTAAACAAACAAAAACTTCAAGAAAACAACCCATTACCGGTCGGGAATTGAATTGAATGGGGGAGCCACCGTCGCCAGAAATGAGACACCGCCGCCGCCGATTAACCCGAAACCTCATCGAGAAATTGGGAAGGTCGAATAAATTATCAGTGAAGTGGAAGAATTTACCTATTAATTTAGTGTTCACGTTAATCTGCAGAGTAGAATAAGACCCAAAAATAAGACCCACATACAAATCCGCAACCAGCCACAAAAGCTCTTTTATAAATAATTACCTATTAATTTTATAAATTATCTTTTTGTAATTAAATTTTATTCTTTGTTTATTTTTTTCGTTTTTAATTTTTTTTCTTTTTTATATTATAACAAATTATTGCACACAAAAAAATTAATTAAAACATGTCATGTTGAATAAAAGAAAAGTACACGCACGCATTACATAAATTAAGAAAGATATACTACATGAAAGGAAAACATAGAAAATATAAAAAATCTAGGCTTGATCAGGATCACGCTTGGCCACAATTATCAAACATAACCCCGGCGTTTGGATCGTTTGAATTGAAGGGGGGTCGATTATTGGATCGTAAGAATACGGAAAATTGAGATTGTTTGGATTCAAGGCGTGAGTAAAAATATAAAATTTGTAAAAAAATCTAATAAAAATTGAGATTGTGAAGAAGTTATTGTGTTTGAAATTGGTTGGAATTGGATTGTTGAAATATAAGATAGATGGAGTTAGTAGGTTTGAATTTTTTTTTAAAAAAATACGGAGTAATTTTTTGGGTCAACATGACCGTTGCAAAGAAGAAAAGAAAAAAACGGTCGGATGAGCAATATGTGGAGCATCGTGTTCGTGACCACGGATGCCCTCACGTGTCGTGGCCACGAGGGGATGGGGCAGTGTTCGCGTGAGGGGGGGGGGAGGACGTGGGAGAGCCATGGCACGTGTGGGGGTGGGGGGCATTATGGACAGCATAAAAATCGATTGATTGAGTTTCACTCCAAATGTAATTGAGCTCTATTGATTTCAAAATTAAGATATTTTTCTTGACACTGACTTTAGAGTTTGTTTTTGAGAAAATCTCTAAATAGGAGCAAAATATGTATCATATCTCCAAAGTAATTCATGTATTTTACGGTAATGACCATTAACTCCTGTTTTCGGAATTTTATCTTCCAACTCCTAATTAAAAGTGTGTTTGGGAGAAAGAAACTATCAATTATACTAAAACATAGAGAGTATTATATAAATCAAAATATGACTTTTTAACAAGTTTGTATTAAAATAGGATGAATAATGTCAAAAATTACTAATATATAATGTCAAAATACTCTAAAACGTTAACATATAATGTTAAGTTGTGACATTGTAAACGGTTAGCAATTCTATTTAAAGTATCGTTTCAAAAATAATATCACAATTCACTATTCAAAAATTATGAAATTTCTTATTTATTTATTTGTTTGAATCGATTATTTGTTAAAATAAAATATTTTTTTTACATCATAATTTAAAGAATATTCATAATTTTTAAACTTACAAATTAAATTTTTTATTTTTATTTCAATATTTAAAAAATTTATTGTCATCGTTATTTTTGAGATGGACATACCATAAAAATATAGTAGAACGACTATTTTTTTTTACCAATTTCTTCTTGTAGTAAAGTTTATGTTTTACAAAAGCTTAATCGTGTAAATTATAAATCCTAATCCTAGTAAGATTGTGAAAGATCATCCTATTCCACACTCGGTATGATTCTGAATTATGATTATAAAAAGAAAACTTATTCCCCAATTTTCTGTTCTTTCTCACTTGAAAGAACAGAAATTTAATTCTCCAGCTGATTCATAGTCTCACAAAAATCTTAGTTTTCGATTTTTCCCAGGTCAGGGTTCTTAGTCCACCTCTGCTCAAAGTAAGGCATTCTTCCCCATAAGATCTTCAATTTACTTAATTGTTTTTCATATTGCATGAAGTAATTCAAGAACCCAGTAATTAGGAAAAAATAAGAAGAAACTGGAAAAATAGTAGTGTGTGTTCTTGAATTTCACCGTGTGAATTTTGCAGGGTTTGATTCACTTTTACCCTCTCCCGTTGAAATTTTAGGGTTTAAGGAAAATTTGCTTGTGGAGGTGGAAGCTTTGCTGGGGTAAAAATAAAATTACAGTGACAGAGATCATCATGGGTTCTGTATGTTGCTGTTTCGGCGTCTCCGATGATGATTCCTCGGATTCTGCTAGTAGTTTCTGCTGTTTGAATTTTCGATTCGAAGATTTTCTGCTTAAGGTAGATGCTTATACCTTGAAGAAGCTCTTTCCCTATATAATTAGAATCATGCTAGAAACCCACCAAGATTGCCTCCACACTGACACTCACATGATAATCGTCTGTGTTCACAAACGCTTATTGTTTGTGTATGTATGAATCATTTGTGATTGTCATTCGTGGGAGCACACCCGTGGTGGGTTCCTAGCATTTTTTAACAAATTATGTTACTTTAATCTCAAGGATGACACCAAGATTGACATGACCAGAAACAATTTCATGTATACGATCATTGTGAAGTCAATGTCTTTGAGACATAGACGGTGTCATCTGTGGTGTGACTGAAGCATGTAACAGCATAAACCTTCCCTTTATTCTCACTTTGATTTTGTTCTCGTAAACCTTTTTGCTTCTGCTTTTACATTATCTTTCGAAGTCCATTGTTCTTCTCGAAGGCATGTTTTTTCAACACTTTGCAATTGAAGAATTACAACTTAATTATGTAGTAATTTTTGGAAATAAAGACACAAGTTCAATACTATATGCCCCCACATATTTTGAATACTCCATCCTTCCCTAACTAGCAGCAAATTTTTAAATTATTTACTCATAATACTTTTCAAATAAAAATTGGAATCGATCCATCTCCATATTCATTGCAACCTAGAAATTCTAGCATTGCATGTTTCAACAATTATCAATAATTAAGAGCCAGTGAATTTTTTTTATTATGATTACAATTTATGAATAGTATTAGAGCGAAGGTAGTTTTTAGTTATGCCGTGGGCTAGTGGCGGGGCGGGGGACGGTAGGGCCCGTCCCGAACTCGCAGTCCCACATCAGTGGGCCCCTCACACTAGTTATGAGGTTGTGATATGTGTTCCTTTGAGAAAATAAGATAAGACACTCCACACATTACCTTTGAGCACACTCCTCATGTAAGTTTGATCGCTTGGGATGTTTTTGCTATCTTTGATGCACACTCTAAATGAGATATTATAATTGCAGTATGAGGCTTTATTTGGTGGTGAGGAAACCCAAGATGTCGACTTAGCGGATTCCGAGGACATAATAATACCACAAAACAATGGCGACTCAAGATCTCCTCCAGCACACCAAGAAATTGGAACCGGGAAATTGGAGAAAGGCTCGAGCCATTTACACGTGCGAAATGTTGACAATGCTGATCTCAAACTGCTTCGAGAACTCATAAAACGTGAAAACAAACTCGAAGCTGACGAAACAAAGGACTATATTGCCCCTTACAAACACTTGTTTTCGGATGTTGAAACCGAGTATCATTGCCCTTTGCAAGAAGATGAGGATGTCTGCCCAACTTGCCTCGAAGGTTTTCTATTAACCATATCTATATATACATTCTAAATTTTCATATGATCGTCGATTATACTGATGTTTTTTTGTTGAAAATGATGACTTATTAATTACCAACTTATATAATGGCTTTGTCTTGCAGAGTATACTATTGAAAACCCCAAAATTATCACAAAGTGTTCTCACCATTACCACCTGAGCTGCATATATGAGTGGCAGGAAAGGAGTGAAACATGTCCCTTTTGTGGTGCGGTAAGGTCTTCTTTTACATTTTTCTGCCATTTGTCTTGATGTTCTAATTTGTAAATCACGCGACACGGTTGATTGTCGATACCTTCTATCAGATTTTGTTCTTACGACCAAAATTTGACAATCGGTTGTCAAAACACAGACAATCAATTGTTCTTAGGACCAAAACTGACAATCATCAGTTGTATTTTGACAGCTGATGATTGACAATTTTGGTCCTCATAGCCACAAACATGACAATCGATTGACAGTTTTCTACTTATTACTTATTATTATATCTCTCAAACAATAATTTCTCATCGATAGTTACTGTTCGTGTGAAAAAAATAACCTCAACCTCGTGTCAAGCTTGGGTGAAACTTGTTTATAGTAAATGTTAAAAAGTACTCCCTCCGTCCCAAAAGAATGAGATGGTTTGACTTTTTGGGAAATTAAGGGAGAGATATTTTGGTATTGACTTTCCAAAAATACCCTTGATGTGATGGGTAAAAATAGGATGTGATGGGTAGATTATTAGAAAAAAGGTATGATGTGATAGGTAGGGTATGAAAAAGTAAGGGGTAAAAGTGGTTTTTTAATAGAAATGTAACGGACTTTACGGGACGCAGTTTTTTCTAAACATAACAAACTTTTTGGAACGGAGGGAGTATATATCTCAAATGGGAAGATTGCATTTGTCTTTTTCAGGTGATGGAATTTGAGGAGACAAGTTGATGATTACAAGGCATGCTGAATTGAAGAACAATTAATTTGAATATATGCCCAAATGCTCTTTATTTATTTACAAGTTTTTTTTTCCTTTTAACTTTATGCAAGAATTACTCAAGGTGGGATAAAGATGTAAATGAGTTTTAACAAACTTGCATTGGAATTAGGTTTGAACCTGCCACAAATTACTGTCCCAAAATAAAACTCTTGTGTCAATATATTTTTATTTTAAAAAATGGTCTTTTTTTTGTTTGCCCATTTTCATTAAGGTTGATGTTAATATGTAATGAACCAAAAATGGAATAGGTTGACAAAAAAACTCAAACACTGATTAAGACTAAAACATGTTTCATACATTAAAATAAGATTTTTAATGTTTTATACTAAAATATATGGAGTAATTCATGATGCCAAAATGTGTCAATATATAGTGCCAAAACATGCTCTAAACTACCAACATATATTGTTAAACTGTGATAGTGTACGGTGATAGTGATCCATTCCATTTAGAGATAAACACATAAAAAGTCTTATTTTGGTATAAGTATGATGTTTTAGTGATATTTAGCTAAATTTCTTTTTGATTCAACTATAATCAATATAAAGAACGAAGCAGTTCTTTTGACACTAGGTTCGGTGTCATAATACTCCCTGTCCCAAATTAATTTGCATTTTACTATTTACATTGTCAAACTTCATTCACTTTCTTTTGTTATTTTCGTTAGTCATTTGATAAAATAATATAGTCGTGTCACCAGCACTTTTTTAGATCTCTTGATCTAGTTTTTAAATATGTAATTTTTATTTTTTAGATCTACACCATTTTTCATATAAAATGATTTGAAAATAATTTCAGTCAAACATTGTAAATTGAAACGTGTAATTTAAATTGGGACGGATGGAGTATAATATTGGCTAACACGTTATCCCTCTAAACCTCTCACCTCATGAGAGGAAAGGAGACCATTTGTTCTCTTGGAGTCTTCTTCATAGAGATATTCCATCTTGGAGTATATTTATTTAACATCTTATAATAAAATGATGTCTAGTGTACGTAATCACATCCTTAATCTTGGTCAACAATGCTAACAAAAATGTCAACTAAAATTAGGGGTGCGATTGAGGATTGGTAGGGTATAGGTTGGGGCCGGGTTGAGGTTGAGAGTTTAAAGACACGATAAGAAAACTTTTCGAGGTTGATCAAAGTGCACTAAGGATATCAAAAATTTTGACGAAAATATTAACAACTTTGATGATATAATTGAAGGGCTAGATTTAATTCTATATTGTAGTCAAGTCAACAGCACTAAAAAAATACTTCATGGAAGGGCTAGGGACGGATGCGTGGTTGGGGTTTAGATGAGGGGTAGAAACCATTTTCAGGTTGAACATAACATCAAAAAATTTAACTTTATAGTCAACTAAACTTACACCCTGCAATTGACGTGATTGTAGAAATGGGTTGGGGTAGGAACTTGGTGGGGGGTTTACGAGGGAGTTTAGGGGGTAAAAGTTATCCATTTTATGAAAGGAGCACCGTAGGTGTCCCCAGTTGTGACAGTGTCCTCTGTGGTCACTCAAAGAGAGTGGCCATAGAACCGGAATGATATTTAATTTAGATTATTATTATTACTACTCTTATTATTATTATTTGCTTCCATTTTGAATAATAATAATATTATTACTTTTAATACCAACAACAAAATCATTCTGTCCACCTAATTTTACAATGTAACAGTAACTGATCAGACACCGAAAATTTGATTTTCTTTCGTTATTACTCAAAAAAATGGATGACCATAAATTGCGGTCAATATTTTTAAACTTTAACCATAAATTAAAAAAATTAATTTATTATATAAATTTAATAGCAAGCTATTCATCTTAAAAAATAATTTTGAACTGAAATATCATATTTATATAATACAAGTATGTGTGAAAAGAAATATAATATGGAGTAATAATTGATGTTATAAATAAAAGTCAGACAAACTTGGGGCCCGTATTATATATCGTCTTTCGCACACCTTCTTTAAGATCTAAGCTACGAGCGACAAATTTTGTTTCGTTGCAGTTTTTATTGAATTGTATTAATTAATCACAAATTAGTTTTCTTTTCTTGTATTGGGGTTTACCTTTTCCAACGTACGACGGCAATAATAGAATATTATGAAAAAACTTTAGGGATTCAGCTTTGAAACATTATTGTTGCTAGGGGGAGGAGACCAAATTACTTCATTTCATTTGACTCAATAATTTAAAAGAAATGCCTTCAAATTTCCTTGAAAAAGAAATCTACTCTATAAAAGTATAATTAAAATATAGAATTTATGCTAAAACATATACCATATACTATATAAACTACCTGGCTCGGTCTCGAGAATTCGGTAACCCCGGACGAAATGAAAAAAATTAACAAATTAAATTATACTCCCTCTGTCCGTGAAAACATGTCTTGTTTTGAACACCTTTATCGATATGTTAGCAAACCAAATCTCGAAAAATTCTTAGAGTTATAGGCAGAAATCAATTGTTTTTTTTCAACTTTTATGCGGAGGGAAGCGTACGACTCGATCTGAGAGGTCGACATCTTCTTTTGGGACGACATTTTGTCTAAAGAGCCATTTACGAACCGGAGATAACATTTTGGTTAGGTAAGGGGGGGCGGGGGTACTAAATCCCATGTATTATTAGCGATCAAAGCATTATATTCATCTTGTATCGCATTGAACCAGTTTGGATCTTTTAGTGCACTACGGTAGGTAGGAGGCCATGGGGAGATTTCGGCAGTGGTGTTGAGATTAAGTACTCTCTCCCTCCCAATTTATTTGCAACACTTCGAACGACGTGCAAAATATCATCTCTTTTAAAATCACTTTAATTTCAAATTGGTAGAGTAATAAAAAGTAAAAATTACACCAATTAAAAGTATATGAAAAACTCTACAAAACAAGATGCGACAAAATATTTTATTTTATCAAATGGTCAACCAAAACGAGTAAACAAACAAAAGTTATCGAGAAGCCATAATAGTAAACGTGGCATTCTTTCTGGGACGGAGGGAGTATTTGTTTAGGATAGAAGACACCCGCTTTGGCACGAGTGACCATAGGATGTGTGGGTTGAGGTGGAGGGGCTGTTTCGGGGGAGGTGTTGTGATGGGCCGAGGTATCTGGGGAGGCCGAGGGAAGGGTGGTTGGGCTGGTGGGCGGGGGTAGTGAGGGAGGAGGAGGTAGATGTTGGAGATTGTTGTAAATGCCAAATGCGGAGAGTTGGGGGTAGAGTTTTCAAAGGAGAGAAAAGAGACATAGGCCATGGTCGCCGGAGAAGTGGTGATCGACAAAAGATGGCCGAACTGGGAGGGAGGTACGGCGTGGGAAGTGCCGTGCGTGGAAGAAGGGAGGCGGAGAGCATTAGGGCCTCCGATACCATGTAGAATTGTTATTTTCCAATAATTAGCAATGAGAGAATACATGGGATTATATACAAGGGTTTCCGAAACACATACAGAGTAGTAGGAAACAATAATTAATGTAGCCTATATAATTATGGTAGCTACCTACATACATAATACTCCGGAGTAGTAAATATAGAAACAATATACTCCTTTCATTCTCAAAAACACTTCCTCTTTTATTTTTTTTCACTTCCAACAAAACATTTCCACTTTATATTAAAAAACTACTTTTACCCTTACTTTTTCATACCCTACCTATCACATCATACTTTTCTCTAACAATCTATCCATCACATCTTACTTTTACATATCACATTAGGGGCAAAATTGGAAGTTTTTTGTAAATAGAGGGAGTATTTAACACATATCACTTCTTATTTTGTAAAACTTTTGATGTAATTTTTAAACATGTAAGTTTTATGGTTTATTTATATACCAATCTTCAAATAAAATGAATAAAAAAACTTAAAATTTTACTTCATTTTGCATAAAGAATAAATGATTTAGAGACGGAGGGAGTATTACATTTAATATTTATGCAAAAATACTTTTTATACAAAAAAATGTTTTTATTATTTAGGTTGCTATTTGTTTATGTTACCATATGTACATAAATAATATTTTTATATTATTTAAGGTAATTTAAGAACGTCTTTATATAATTTATTTAATTTATTTAGGTTACCATATATATATATATATATATATATATATATATATATATATTATGTTTATTATTATTATATATTATTATGTTTTACATATATATATATATATATTATGTTGTATATATTATTATATATATATATATATATTATTATGTTTATTATTATTATTATATATTATTCTTTTCTATCATATATATATATATATTATTATTATTATGTTTTACAATATGTCCCCTACTTTTAAACAAAGTATTGATATTGATATTGATTTTTATTATTATTATGTTTATTATTATTATTATTACACCGTACCATAATAATTAAGAATTAATAATTTAAAATAACTTTAAAAGAAAAGTGAGAGTAATAATTATGAAAATATCTTATACACGACAATTACATAAGGTATGAAATTACCTTATAAATAATCATTAATTAATAATGAAAGTTCAACATGTTAGCTTTTTTACTATACACAGTACCAATAATGATTATTACATGACACCATATTATTACGACATTATTATTAAAAGTTTACATGTTACCTTTTCTATTATTATTATTCTTACTACGTTTATTATTATTATTATTATTATTATTATTATTATCATTATTACATGTTGCCATAAGAATTAATAATTAGTAATTAATAATTAATAATAACTATAAAAGAGAAGTTTCAGAGTAAATAATTATCAAAATTACCTTATACGCAATACCTATACTTTACACTTACCATTTCAAATTTTAGCATTTACTTTTTGTGACTGAAATGTTTAGGCAGAAAAATGCAATGAGGAATTTCCATCTTGTTAAATATAGCATAGACACCATCAAAGAATTGGTTTTTTACAATTAAAAAGGATTCACTAATAAACACATGAAAAGTGTGAGAAGATTCACGTTTTATGTGTATGTAGCCATTAGGACTAAAGAAGCACAACTCATTAAACTCTGAAATCAAAATGTATGGTGTGTGTGTGTATATATATATATATATAGACACACACACACACATATATATTGAAAATTTAAAATTTAAATAAATTTCCCAATTAAATTTTCGTTTGTATATTTTTACTGATTTTTTTT